CCCCCCAAAACCCCCCAAACCCCCCTCAAAACCCCCCAAACCCCCCCAAATTTGGTACCTTGAAGGAGGGGAGCCGCAGGGCCCCCCTGAGCCCCCCCAAAACCCCCCAAATCCCCCTCAAAACCCCCCAAAATTGGTACCTTGAATGAGGGGAGCCGCAGGGCCCCCCTGAGCCCCGAGCCCCCCCCCCGGGCCCAGTCGACGAGGGAGAGGAGGGCGGGGGGCGGCTCCTTCGGCCTCGCTCGCTCCTTCTCCTCCCCCCGCCCCGACTGGAACGGCTGGGGGGGCACAGGGGGGGCACAAAGGGGGGGGGTCAGCACGGGGGGGAGACCCCCAGGGACACCGGGAGGGAGTTTGGGGGGTTCTGGGGGGTGTTTTGGGGGGGCCTGGGGGGGGGATTTGGGGGGTTTGGGGGGGATTTGGGAATCTGGGGGGGGATTTGGGGGGTTTGGGGGGGATTTGGGGTCTGGTGATCTCAATTAATTTGGGGGGAGGTCTCAGGTAATCGGGGGGATCTCAATTAATTTGGGGGGAGCCTCAGTTAATTTGGAGGGGTCTCAGGTAATTGGGGGGGTCCCAGTTAACCTGGGGGGGTCTCAGTTAAAAGGGGGGAATCTCAGTTAATTCAGGGGGGTCTCAGGTAATTAAGGGGGTCCCACCTAACCAAGGGATCTCCCACCCCAATGGGGGGGTGTCCCACCCAACCGAGGGGTGTCCCCCCTAACCGGGGTGGTCCCACCTAACTCAGGGATGTCCCACCCAACTGGGGGATGTCCCACCCAACCCAGGGGTGTCCCACCCCACTGAGGGGTGCCCCCCCTCCCCTGGCATTCTCCCCCCACCTTGAGCTGCTCCTCCTTCCTCTCCCACCAGGGATATCCCACCCAACTGGGGAATGTCCCACCCAACTAGGGGATGTCCCACCTAACCCAGGGATGTCCCACCTAACTCAGGGATATCCCACCCAACTGGGGGATGTCCCACCCAACCCAGGGATGTCCCACCCAACCAAGGGATGTCCCCACCTTGAGCTGCTCCTGCTTCCTCTCCCACCAGGGATGTCCCACCCAACTGGGGGATGTCCCCCCTAATTGGGGGTGTCCCAGCTAACCCAGGGATGTCCCAACTAACCAGGGATGTCCCACCCAACTGGGGAATGTCCCACCTAACTCAGGGATGTCCCACCTAATTGGGGGTGTCCCAGCTAACCCAGGGATGTCCCACCCAACCGGGGGCTGTCCCCACCTTGAGCTGCTCCTCCTTCCTCTCCCACCAGGCATCGAAGGCCCGGAAGGCCACGTTCTCCACCATCTTCCTGTTGAGGTCCCGCTGCATCGTCGCCTTCATCTCCTGCACCAGCGCCGCCAGCACCCCCTCCAC